GGCTCTCTTTCCTTTGGGGATGTAGCAGAGCCATTGCTTTTGGATGTGAAGTTTTGCTGTTGGGAAGAAATGGGAGTGGTGCCTCTGAGGCAGCCTGCAAGGGTGGGAGTGAGCAGGAGCCCTGGCCCCGGCCAGAGTGGGTGAGCAAAGCCCTGTGTTTGTAATGGCTCCTCAGTTAATGCCTCCTGTTCATTCTCATCTGCACTGAACATTGACGAAGCTCCCACTGTGTGCCTGGAGCTCTGCTAAGCACTGCCAGTAGCGAGACAAGCAAAACTCCTGCTTTCAAGATACAGTTTCTTGGGGATTTAAGTAGGAGAAGAAATAATACAGTCCCACAATTCAAAGAGCTGTGGGGCACGGGGAGAAACTTTCACTGACAAGGTGATATTTCAGCTTGGTCTTGATGATGTATGACCAGAAAGATAAAGGCCATTGCAGGTGGTGGCAGAAGCACCCAGATGGAAATGCCCATTCTTTGTGCTTCTTCAGAAATGGAAGAGGAAAAGACGTTAAAGAACAGGGTTGTAAAGGAGAGTGGCTGGGGCCCAGGCAGAATTGGATAGTCTCTTCTGCTCACTCCCCTGAGGCTTCCCTGCCACAATGCATTCTTTCACCTACCCCACAGATATGCGGAATCTCCACATTCTCACCGCAGGTTCTTCATTACCGCAGCCATGAATTCATCCTGAGGTCTAGATGCTCTATAAGGCCAAAAGGGACATCTCTCTCAAGGGCATATACATCTGAACAGTTTTAAAAATATTAAGCCCCCAAAAAATTTTAAGCCAGAAGATTGCTGCTTTGAATGGGTTTCACATCAGATATTGGGCAGAGGATTTGGCTGGAGAGGAAGTGAGAATAGGGTCTGCTTAGAACCTGTGAATTACCAAACTCCTAACTTTAGATTCTAGCCTTAGGGCCTTGGGTAGCATCAGCCATCGGGACCTCGTGAATTCGCAGCCACCCAGATACCTGGGCAGTCACTGGGAGTTTGACTCATTAGCACCTGGGCCAAGAGCCATTCCCCTACCCGGAGCATCCTGCAGTGGTGACGGCCACACCTTCCCGAGCTACCCTGTGTCCACACAAACCTCACATATCTGCACTTGGACATTCTGGGCTGGTTGAGCTTAAAGGTCCTTCCAGGGAGCAATATACTTGGATTAGTTGGCTAGGAAAAGGCAGGCATGGACGTGGAAGCAGGGAGTCAGGGGCAGTGGAGGAGCTGCCGGGGTCGAGGCGGATATTGTGAGTGGGGAGGCCTCGGAGGCACATGGCTGCCAGGACCTGTCTTGCTTGCAAGCTCAGCACCAAGAACCCATCTACGTTTAAGGCTGTGCCTATCACTTTCAGGTTTTCAGGGGAAGAAGATTCAACCCTCCCAAAACAACCATAGACCCCACAAAGACCCATGAGAATGCAGGAGGTCTGCAGCTTGAATGAGAAAGGACTCTTGCCCAGTCCCACCTCCCGGGACAGGCCCTGGCTTCTTGGATCTGCTGAGCAGGTGTCTGAAATGGCATGCACCATTTCCAGCTGTGGGGAGTGACCAGGTGAGCCCCACACTATTGTGAACACTTTTGTTAGGAACAAGGACAGGCGACAACATGGAAGAGGCCCTGGTTTCACTCCAGAGCCACCAGCCCTCCTCCCCCAACTCTTGGGGACCGGCAGAGAGACCCACCCTTTGCGTCAGGGCTGCCCAGGTATGTTCCTGGGAACAGCGTTCAAGAGAGATGCTCTGAAAACAAGAGTTGCAAGGTGAAGCAAGTCTGGGAAATGCTGTGTGCTGTCCACAACCCCCTTGTGTGTGTGTGTGTGTGTGTGTGTGTGTGTGAGAGAGATGCTGTGTGCTGTCCACAACCCCCTTGTGTTTGTGTGTGTGTGTGTCTGAGAGAGATGGTGTGTGCTGTCCACAACCCCCTTGTGTGTGTGTGTGTGTGTGAGAGAGATGCTGTGTGCTGTCCACAACCCCCTTGTGTGTGTGTGTGTGTGTGTGAGAGAGAGATGCTGTGTGCTGTCCACAACCCCCTTGTGTGTGTGTGTGTGTGAGAGAAAGATGGTGTGTGCTGTCCACAACCCCCTTGTGTGTGTGTGTGTGAGAGAGAGAGATGCTGTGTGCTGTCCACAACCCCCTTGTGTGTGTGTGTGTATGTGTGAGAGAGATGGTGTGTGCTGTCCACAACCCCCTTGTGTGTGTGTGTGAGAGATGGTGTGTGCTGTCCACAACCCTCTTGTGAGTGTGTGTGTGTGTATGAGATGATGTGTGCTGTCCACAACCCTCTTGTGAGTGTGTGTGTACATGTGAGAGATGATACATGCTGTCCACAACCCCCTTGTGAGTGTGTGTGTGTGTGTGAGAGAGAGAGAGATAGTGTGTGATGGGGTGTGTGCACACTTTATGCGAAAGTATTAAAGGCTCCAAGAAGTCGTACTGAGGAAAAACCTGCTTAACTTCATCCAACGCAGACCTCCCCTCACTGGTTTGATGGCGAGTTTCCATAGCACTAGTATTTTGTGGCCTGCATTTTAGGAACACTACTCTCAACACTCTCAGTATCTATTGCTTTTCTTCAATAACTTGTATGCGTTTTGTCAGTTCCCTTTCTGGACCCATCCCCCAAGCATGTTTTCAGGAAAGGGTATGGATTCCTTGGCCACCATTGTGGCCGGGTTTTCATCTTTAATTTGCAGGCTGAGTCTGGGATTCTGGGTGCCTGTGCCAGGCCCGGGGAAACCTAGACTGTTCGGAAGGCTTATGGGACACTGGGTCCTGGTGTGGTTTCTGGTCGCTCTGCATTTGTTCAGAGGTCTGGGTTACAGCCATGATGGGAGGTGAGGATCTCTCCCCCTGCGATCAATGGGCATGGGTGGCCCTGTGTTGGGAGGCCAGTCCTGAGAAGATGGGCTTTGCTAGTTGGTTGGGCATCTGTGGTATGTGTCTGCTGGCATGTTTGGCTCTCAGGGCATGGCACCTAGAGTGTTTGAAGGAGGAGGGACACCCATGGGTACTCAGGGACTTTCCATGTGGGGAGGCTCCCCTCTGAGTGGGAGGGTTTAAGCAGGCACAGTGGGGTGTGGAGGCAGTGGAGGACAGGCTCTGAGGTCCTCTGAGGCTGGGCCCATTTTTAGTTCCAGTGGCTGAGCCTCAGGGCAGCAGAGGCCCGTGGAGCAGTCTCTGGGATCTGTGTGCTGTGTGAGTGTTAGAGGTGTGTGGGAAGGAAGGATGGCGGTCAGCTGCTGGCGAGTGAGTGTGACTCCCCAGTGTGACTCAGGGATGGATGGTGGTGGGGGAGGAGAAGGCACTGCTAAATGAGGATTAAGAGAAGGACTCAGGGTTCACACACAGCCAGCATCTCAGCCCTATAGCCCCCATGCCAGCACCAAGACCAGAGCACCTGGTAAACAGCTCACATCCCATTGCATACATTTCCCCAAGCCCTCTTCCCTGCCCTCCACAGAGATGCCCTGGGTGCTAACTTAATGTTGCATTACTGCCGTAGGTAGCCTGACAGGATGGGGGGCATTGTGGGGATAGCTGTGATTTGCTCTCCTATACTCCACCAGAGGGTTCCAGGCCCTGCACCCTACACAGCCTGCCTGGGAATGTGGGGAAATAAGAACAGTACCTTTTCTTCCCTCCACTCTGCCAGATCTACTGCTTCTCTCTTCTGCCTGGATTCCAGAATCTTCTAGAGCACAGGTTGCTCAGCAATAGTTACAGTAGCAAACGTGTGTTTGTTGTAATAGTAATTATAGAATGAAATCCCAACACACAGAATGACAATGCTGGGAGCTGGTGATTCCCTCTCTCTTTCCTTTTTTTTTTTTTCCTTTGGTGAAACAGAGTCTTGGCTCTGTCTCCAGACTGGAGTACAGTGGCACGATCATGGCTCACTGCAGCCTCCACTTCCCGGGTTTGAGTGATTCCCCTGCCTCAGCCTCCTGAGTAGCTGGGACTACAGGCATGCACCACCACACCCAGCTAATTTTTATGTTTTTAGTAGAGACGGTGTTTCACTATGTTGGCCAGGATGATCTCAATCTCTTGACCTTGTGACCCGCCCATCTTGGCCCCCCAAAGTGCTAGGATTACAGGGGTGAGCCCTGCTCTCTCTCTTTTTTGACAGTCCTTCCCACCTCCCTCCAGCGTGTGGCAAAACTTTCCTGCAGGAGTATCAGGATGCTGGCACCCGAGTCATAGTCCTGTTTTTTAAAAGGGCACAGGGAGCCCCTCACCTATTTTCAAAAACATCTAACAGAAAAAAGCCTGCATTCATTCATTGAAGTGTGGTTCTTAGAGGACTGGACTTTGCTGTCCTGGATTTAGACTCATGATCAGTCTCTTTCCTACAGATGCAGATGCTTAGGAGAAAATAAGGTGGGACAAAGCAAGCCTCTCCTGGCCCCCAGAAGTACATTGCTGAATGGAATTTTAAAATAGAAGGAAGCTCACATGGAGAGAATTGTTTCTTTTCCAGGGGATCTTCTGTTACTCAGTGGAGCAGAGGTTCTAGAAGCGGGCACTCCAGTTGTGAGCCCAGAGACAGCAAGGGATTGCAGCAGCTGGCTCTGTACACAAGCATCGTTACCCAGTCCAGCAGCTTGAAGCCTGCGGAAAACGGGGCTCTGCTGTGGCATTAATTATGTTCCTTCCTTCCTTCTTCCTGCTTCCATTGTCAGTTCTGGTTATTGGATTTGTTATTGATTTCACTCAGTAACTGGAGTGTCCAACGTATGCCCAGCTATATTATGTGTTGGTTACATACATCCTTTTTTTGGAGAAGATGCTTTGTGTTCAGAGACCAGGCACAAATGTTTGTGGTTTCACAAGGTATGGACCATTCGCTGTCCTGCCTGCCTGTTTACAAAAATAAATCATGCAAACTGCACAGACACAATGCAGATTGATAGAGCTTGTGTGTTTATGGGCACAGCCATCTTGGAGGCTGCGTGTCTCTCGTTGGGTGAATTTGTTCCTTAACTCCACTTCCCCACGCCGTTTGAGTACATGATTCTGGCCACCATCATCGCCAACTGCATAGTCCTCGCTCTGGAGCAGCATCTTCCTGAGGATGACAAGACCCCCATGTCCCGAAGACTGGTATGTGCTTCCTCTCCTCCCCTTTCCCCTTTTCTTTGTCTTTTGTGGTTTCTTCTCTGCTGTATCACTCTCTTCCTACCTGTGAGTTCTGGGAGGGATTTGCTCTTTGCTGGGGACAAGTTAGTGACAGACCCCATGGGGATTTTCACAAGGAAGAGAAGAGATTACAAACACTTGTGTCTGTGCTGTGTGGCAGTCAGTGAAGAAGAAAGGGCAGGCACAGGTCCATCTTCTTCCCTCCTCTTTCCTAAGGGACTTCTGACACAAGAGGAAGGGGTGGGGGGAGTAGAGGGGAGAGGATGAAGGATGCTCAGTTCTTGTGCGTATTTGTGGTTATGAACTTTCCAATGCTTACGTCCTTATTCTCCTTAAAGAAATGAGTCACACATATAACGTATTCCCCCTAAAAAGAGCAGACAGATTGCCTGAAATCCATGTGTGTACATGCAATGAGACCCTCAAGCTTCTAACTTACGTGAAGAGCAGCAAACTCCTTCAGGGTAAAGCCAGGGCCAGCAGGGACCTTCCTGGGAAGGAGGTCTAGCTCTTGGGCATGATCCCACATCGTCCATTTCTACAGCTAGCTCCCCTGGGCCTCCCTTGCCCTGTGTACTCCTGAGTCACAGAGAACCTGCAGCCCCCCTGTCCTTAGCATCCTTGCTCCCCGCCTACACATGAGCAGGCCCAGCACAGACAACCAGGAGGGCTGGGCTATGCCTTTGTCTGTGTCTCATAAAGCACAATCCTCTTCTCACTGGTGCCTCTGCTCCTCATCTACACAGGAGAAGACAGAACCTTATTTCATTGGGATATTTTGCTTTGAAGCTGGGATCAAAATTGTAGCCTTGGGGTTCATCTTCCATAAGGGCTCGTACCTGCGCAATGGCTGGAATGTCATGGACTTCATTGTGGTCCTCAGTGGGTAAGTCCATTTTCTCTCTCTCTCTGTCGCGTGTGTGTGTGTGTATGTGTGTGTGTGAAGAGGGTTGGTGTCATGAGGTGGCCAGGGGCAAGGAACCTGGGGTGAAAAGACAGCAGTATTAGAGTAGGGGGCAGAAGACAAAGTTTCTTGAAGAAAAAGTTCAAGGCTAAGATTCCCCAGGGTGCTGGACCATAGGTCAGCCACATCAAGAGGAGGGTGAGCACTGTGTGGAGGTGGGTGTGGTGTTAGGCAGAGGCCATGGGATTCTCATGGCAGCTGCCACTTCTGGTTTTCTGTTCTGTGCTTGACTCAACGGCTGAACACCCTCTTCCATGGGGAGGGGGACATTTCCCAGTGAACCTTTTCACCAAAGCAAGCAGCTTACCCCCGCCTGGGAGGCACCCCCAAGATGGGCCAAAAGATGCAGTCAAATTCACATTCTTTGAGGGTGTTGGAGAAGACCACAGCCATATTTTCTGAACTGATAATTGAGATTTGTGTTCTGACAACAGAATGTTTTATGATTTACAGATTTATTAATAGTATAAAATAGAATCATGTTAAAATGTTGGATAAATCATTCTGTGGAAATTAATGGAGTAATATGACATTGGGGCTGACCCAGTGTCACAGCAGCATATATGATGGCAGTACATTGAGTTAAATATTTGATAAATCATTCTTTGGAAATGAATATAGTATGAGGATGTTGTCTTGACCCAGTGTCTTTGGCAGCAATTGTGTTGGCCTTAGGAATGGTGTGATGGGCAGGCCTTCCCGGGCTCTTGTGGCTTCCTGTTGGTCTTTGTGTCAGGTGGCTCTTGGGGCCTGCAGGGCTGGAGACTGGGGAGTGGTCCTGTGTGGATATGGCAGCAAGTGATGTGGTCTGGAAATGCCCTTACCCAACTACTTGGCAGACAGAGTTCAAACCCATGAAGAAAAGAAGTGACTTCGAATGACAGGGAAGGGGAAATATTAGCTACTACTGTGATTGACCAAATGGAGAGAGGAGAAGAGAGGAATTGTTTTCCACGGAGGAGTCAGAGGAGTGGCAAAGGTAGGTAAAGTCTTAGAAGGAAGAGTAAGGGCTTGAGAATGATTGCATCTATTTTCTGTCGTGTGGAATAGACAGAATAGTCTTATTTTTAACCTTTACGCCATTGGGATTGAGTAAAGAGAAAACACTGAAGATGTAATGGCCTGGAATATGTAAATGGAAGCCCGTAAGCAGCCAGCCCCTCAATCTGGGAAATGGATAAATAGACAGGGATGACTATTCACGTTTAAAAATATCTGTTGCCTTACAGAAGGATTTTCTGGAAGTTTTTTTTTTCCAAAAGAAAATTCTACTACTACATTTTAAATATGGTTTAGTATATGAAGATATAGTTTCTACATAGTGTTACAGAAGTACATTGGGTAATGTTTTCAATGTCCCTAAAATAAAATAATATGTGCCATATTAGAAGAGGCCTATAGGAGAATCTGAGTCATTTGGAAATGTTGTGATTATATCTAGAAGAAAAGTGTTGTGTAAGTCACTACAGACGAACAAAAAAGAAAAAAAAAGAAAACTATTGCAATGTATATCTAATATGTTAAGTTTACGTGAGTTCTTGGTCCTGCTCAGTTCTATATGTGGCGGAGTCCCTTTGAAATTTCTTGTCTAGTTCATTTATTTTTATTTTAAGTGATTACATGTTCATTAAAGATATATGGAAAATACAGAAAAGTCAAAAGAAGAAAAAATAATTCACTGATTAAGAAAAATTCTGGATTATTTTGGGGTATCTTTTCCAGGCCTTCAATGCTAAGCAAGCTCTCTTTACATGCTTGTAATTTTGCTGCTTTTTCTGAAAATAGTATAAGCATATAACATGTTCTTGCATATTTTGGCAAAAATCTGTAATGACTGATCAGTTCATGAAATAGATGTACACATCTTGCTTCTCATTTTTGCAGTTACTTGACACTTGGATTCTTTCTGTGTTTTGCTGTGATAAATAATTATTAAAGATGCTCCAATGTATGTCTTTTGGGTGTCACATTTTACAAGGCATTTTACGAGGCATTTGACAAGGCTGAAGAAGTAATTCCGGAGGAGAATCCAGCTGTTCTGTTCTGGGGTCTGGGAACTATGATGGGTGTGAGGAGGTGCAAAAACTGGGCCATGACTGCATGAGAGAAGACTTACAGTAGATGGTGATCTCTCCGCAAATACGGGCTGCCACATGTTGTTGAAGAAGCAGATTAATAGGGACCCGCAGGTTCCACACAGCCAAGAAGGGCCCCCAGGTCCTTGCCTGCATGTCCAGGGGGTGCGTAAGAGTCAGTGCAAGTGCTGAGCTTGGCTGAGTCAGTTGTCCTGTCTGTGCTCCCTTTCCCATCCCTCACATCCTCCCTTCTTAGTGGCTCTTCAGATGTCCCTGGCTTTGTGGATTGCCTTAGCAGGCCCCTGATTTCTGTCTGAACTCACCAGACTTTGCTCCTGTTCCTCCTCCAGACCTGCTGCTTACCCTCCTCCCAGCGTGGACCATTGCCTTTCTCTGTCCTTGCCTCATGGGTGAATATGGTTCAGGCAACGAACTTGGCCCTCTCGAGATCCTCCCTGAGGGTTTTGGTTCTATCCCACAGGAATGGATGATCATATTTAGTCTTACAGTCACATGGTGCTCTCATCTACCACATTGTGTGGCTCTAAGATGCACGTTTATCATGCTGGAACTTCGCTGAAATCAGCCCGTATCTTACAATAATGGCATCATATAGCTTAATTGACAGCATGTTTTTCTTTTTTAATGCTACATAAAATTATGGGACATCTTACAATTGTTATGGTTGTAGATTCAATGACATGGGAGGCAGGCAAAGTGGACTTTAGAGATGAGTCATCTGGCACTAGAAGAGGGTAAGTTATTCGCCCAAGATCACCTGCCCCTTAATGGCAGATGCAGGAGTCAGAATGGTGCCCTTTCATCCGGGGCTGGTGTTTTGACCCCTGCCCTGTGCAGCCTCCTCTCCAGGCCACCCGTTATCCCCCTTTGTCTTCCTGACACCTGCACCTACAGCAGTCCCTGCCAACAGCTCTTCCTTCCCACCTCATCTCCAGGTGTCACCTCCCATTTTCTCCTGTGCACAGGAGGAATGACAGGTGCCTCAGGGCTGAGGCTGCACAACTTCTCAGCTCTCAGTGCTGACAGGAGGGAAGTGGGTGCTGAGGTGTCAGTCAGCTGGCTCAGTGTAAGACCTGCTGTCATTGACCTTTGCTAAGAGATGACTAGTTGAGGGGCCTGCACCCACCACATTCTGCTTGCCACCTCTGACCTCCTAAACTTTAGTATTCTTTGGCCTATAAGTTGAGGGTATGCATGGTTTGGAAAGCGCATCAATGTACATTGCTTCACCTTGTTCTCATAATGCCACAGAAAAGACCTTGTTATCCTCATTTTACAGATGAAGAAACTAAGAATCAAAGAGGGCACAGCAATTTCTAGGAGGCACTAGATCCGGGACTTGAACCCATGTCTGCTGGCTCCAAGTTCCTTCTTTGACTCTCTTTTCCCCTATACTGTCAGTTTCTTCACAGTCCCTATGGGTTATAAGGGCCTCATGGTACTAAGGCTCTGTGGCTGCAGGTTTCTTTGGTCCCCATGAGGCAGTGTGGGATGAGCTCAGGGAGGGGCATCATCAGGCAAATGTTCACTCCCAAAGGTGGCGCTTCATGTCTGGCTTGAAGGGGACAGGAGCCCCATGCGTCCATCCTGAGACTCCTCACTGTGGGCTTGGAATGAGAATCCCCGCTCTGTGGTAAAGAAGGCATGTCACTGTAACTGTCAGCACAGCGTGGTTCGATGCGTACAGAATGGATCAGCATTCCCGCTGATTTCTTCACTGATTGGCTTGTTCACCCATTCATTAATTCAGTGTAACTAGTATTGTGTCGTCAAATGCATAGGGAAATGCTAGGACTGAGAAACATGGACGTTAATGTATTTTCCTGCCTGCTGCAAGACAGTGGAATTTGCCATTCTTTTAACACATTCTTATGGAACTTGGGATCTTCCTTGCATTGGGAAAAACTCAAGCAATTCCTAACCACTTGTCAGGCCGCCTGGAGAATTCCAAATTAGTTGAAGTCGTTATTACACATTAGTCTTAAGAATAAGTTATAAAAATATAGTACCTGGATCAGATGGGCAAATGAGAAGGGAGGATGAGAGTCAAAGCCTCAGGGCTGAGGCTAAACCATGGGTAGCAACAGGGAAATGAAGGTGAGGACTGTGCCTTAGGTGCCCACTCATCTCTGTATGCCCAGTGCCTGACAGATAGTTGGTACTCAGTAAGTGCTGATTGAATTGAATTACTTGCCTGTCCCCAGATTCTCTTGTCTTTAGGAGACAAACATGAGTTCCGGGGGAAGGCTGGGGCTGAGGTTGAGAGGGATTGTCTGTTCCCAGCCTTCCCCCTTGGCCTGGCTGAGCCAGGCAGTATCTATGTCTCTCTCCTCTTCATCTACATCTGCCAGGCTGCTCATAGTCTGGCCACTCTATTAGGAAAATGAAAGCTGGGGGCTCAATTTCTAGGCCATTAAGCGATATTGGGCTTCCAGTCATCTGGGGTTATTTACCAGGTTGTCAGTGTTACGTCTTAAGGATTGCTTCCTGGGTGATGAGGGAAGAATCAGGGCTGCACAATGAAGATCTAACCTTATAGAAGTGGCTGTGGATGGGGTGGGGTTGGAGGGGTGGATAAGGAGAAGGCAGGGGTATCATGTCACCTGGCATTTACTATATAATAAAAATGGTCATTTATTGAAACATATGCCAAAGACTACACACACACACACGCACACGCACACGTACACACACACACAATTTCTAATCCTAAACATGGTACCAGGAGATGAGAATCATTAGGCTTGACTATTACCCAGTCACGTTTTACAGATGAAGAAGCCAAGGCGCAGACAATTTAAGTGACTTGCCCAAATCCAGATGGTT